CGGGAAGGACGGCGAGATGTGCCGACCATCCAACATGGCCCATTCGGAGGCGGCGCTGGGCAACCTGAGACGGATCCGAGTGGAGCTGGACTGCGACGAAGGGGAGCTCTCCTTCTACGACACCGACGGCAAGACCCACATCTACACCTTCCACGAGAAGTTTGGCGGCACCGTCTTCCCCTACTTCTATGTGGGGAATACGGGGGCGGGCACTCTGCCTGAAACGCTCCGCATCTGTCCCCTCCGGGTCCGCATCCACGAGGATCTCCCTATCTAGCGGCCACCACCTCCTGCCGCCACCCCCTCTGCCTGCTTTTGTGGTTCTCCACGTGCTTTTTCAGCTTTCCTCAGGAAAAAAAAAGAATGTATGTGTGTACTGCCTCTTTTTTAATCATTAATAAACACTTTGTTCTTCTGGTACGGCTCAGCACCTCTCTCTGTGCCCAAAGCGCTCCGGCTCCTTTCCTGCCCCTCTCCGTCATGGATCAAAGCTGGGAGGGCTTTGGGGAGAAGGTGTCTCCCTGCCAGGGGGCTGTAAATAGTAAATGAAACCATCTGGGGGCTTTCCAAGGTTGTACAAGTGCTGCAGCGCGCAGGGCTCCTGCGGTGGGTAAAGCAGGGGACGGTGGCCTTTGCCCCGAGGCCCTGGGGATGGGCAGAATCCCGCGCAGCTTGGCTGGACGCAGGCAGAAGCCTGTGTTTCCCCTCTGTAAGAGCAAACCGTTAATGGGGACATCCTTGGGAGCAGCGACCCATCTCCTCCCAGCCTTCTCCCCATGACTTTACCCCTCTGAGGGGCTCCTCCGTAAACCCCCGGCCCCGCGAGCCAGGTGATGAGGTGCCGTTGGTGTTCGGAGATGGGCTGGGGGGAGGCAAAAAACACCGCCTGCAACCCCACCCTGGCTCTGGCCCGATATTAATTGTGCCCAAAAGGCTTTTTCCTCCACCCTGGTGAGCCCTTGGGGTTTAAAGGTGATGCCCTGGGCGAAGGGAGGGGGGCGGGGGGGCTGTGCCGCCCTCGCTAGCAGGATGCTGATATTAACGGGTGGTTTCCATGGTTTCTCGCCATTTGCATAGGATGCTCCTTAGGAACAGGAGCTGGCGGTGGAAAAACAAAAGGGAGATGTTGGAGGCGTGCGGTGCGGGGGCGACCCCGGGGGTCCTCCGCTTTCCTTACGTCAGCTGACGTTATCCATTTCCAACCGAGCATCCCTGGATATGGGGAAAGGAGGAAAATCGGTGCGAGCATCCCACCTCCCTCCCTGCCCCGTACCCCGACACTGCCCATCACCCCCTCCCAAAAAGCTGGCAGTGCCTGGGAATTTGGGCATCCCACAGTCAATTAGGGAAAACCGAGGCGTTATTCGGGAATGATAAAAGCCGGTGAAGCCCTTTGGGTTGCCGGGGCTGGAGCAGGATGAGGTGTTTCTCTTTGTCAGGCCCGAAGGGAGCGTTTCCCTCCCACGGCTGCGAGTGCCAGAGCAGGCGCCTGGCGTAAAAACGGCAATAAAGGGTGAAACGAGGCATTGCTTCGGGTGGCGAAACTGAAACATTTTGACTTGTTTCCGAATCATTTGGTGAAAAATTGGCATGCAGGAAACAACATGAACTGATGAACTGGTTGGCTCCCTAAGACTCTGGTTTTTAGGGTGATAAACGGCAGCTGCATCCACAGCTTAATTTCATTCCCACAGAGGCAGAGAAATGGCTTTAAGTGGAAACGTAAAACCTGCAGCGAGGGGCGATGGCTCCCCGGGACCCAGCATTGGCTCGCACCCCCGGCGCTGGAGGTCAAATCCGGGGAGGGCTCCGGTCAGGGGCAGGTGGGTTTCGGGTGGGACCCTCCTCTGCACCCATCGCATCCTTCCCCGACGCCTGACATCCCCCCTGGGACACGCCGCGACTTGCGGGACCTTGTCCGAGCACAAACCTCCCTCCTTGCGGCAATTAGCAGGGTGTCATTTATTATCATTTATTAACTTTTATTATTTTTGCATGGTTTTTGG